AGTAGGCCTGGGCAATATACCGTAATACCGTCATTTACCGGTATTTCTTTGATACCGCGGTAATGATATTCGGAAGTATATTCTTCGGCAATACCGAGTTATTGAACTTCGGTATGCCTGCACCTCTCGGTACTCACCGCTAGCCAATATCTTCGGCCGACCGGCGGCGAGGAAGTGGCGGTATGGTATGGTATCTAGGAGGTATTGGTATGGCACGTGATTGATTTAGGGGTGAAGAACTCAAAGGCTTGCGCGTAATATTTACGGTACCTCCTCTCGGCAGCTAGAAATTTCTCCTACAATATATTGTGGTATCATTTGACTTTAAAGCGCATGCGTCATATCCGTGGTATTGGCGATATCGGATTTCAAACACCCGCGCGTTATATCAACCCTCCATGGTATACTTAGTTACTGATTTTGGTTTCATTTTGAGAATAGCGTGCTTCTGATTTTAAAAATATCCGAGATTGTCGGATCTCCTTGTGATGTTTATAATTGTGTTGATATTTATAATTGTTGATGTTTATAATTGTGTTGATGTTTATAACTGTTTTGATGTTTATAATTGTGTTGATGTTTATATTAGTAATTGATGTTTATATTAATAAAATTTTTCTGTTTTAAAATAATGATGCTTTATAATTAGTTGATTCCATGGGATAATTATGCTGCGAGCTAATATAGGATAAGTACCCCATTTTTTTAAAATGATGCTCTTTAAACACATTAATTTTTAATTGCAAAATAGTCTTAGCATTTATAATATACATAACAATTTAATTACCGCGGTATATCATAATATCGTGATATGAAGCTCACAATATACCACAATATCGAAATTCTGACATTGCCCAGCCCTACCATACACATATTCTCAAGAGCACACATACACACACTAATATAACATTACTCTTATGTATTTCATGCGCCCCACGTTTTTTGTTTTTCAATTTTTTTTTAATTATTATTCTCCACTACAAAAACGTGGCTTTTAAAAATATTATTTTTTATTTTAAATTTTTTTATTTTATCGTGCACGCTTCTACTGCGTGCAATGGGATGTATAAGCGTAGAAATAAAAATCTTTAAACAGAGATAGCTAATACCCAGTAATCTTAATTGACGGAACGACTTTGCATCGTTAATGCTATTCTGTCGTTGAAAGTACTAAATATAGTATAGCTGCGAGATATAATTTCATACCACTAATAGAATTACCTACTTCAAAGAGGTTCTGCGACTAAAGAAGCTTGAGAACCTTTGCTCCCGTCTATAACGCATTCCAACAAGTAGACATTCAGTTTTTAAGGAAACTCTTTTTTAGAAAAGTTCGTTGCTCAGCAACTGTGGGAAAAAATCCGGAATCTCAAATCAAAAATTTCCTCTGTAACGTTAGGAGGGGGTGGAATTTAACTAAATTTTCATTGAAAGAGATTACTGAAAATTTTTTCGTTATACACCGCAATTTTTTTATATTGTGAGTTTTTCTAACAAATTCATAATATTAACTTATATGATGATAAGTCAAAAATGAATGTTTACTCGGGAATTGGTCTGCTTTCACGAAAAATTGTCCAGAATTTTTAAGAAAATTATTTGTCGCACTTTTAGTTTATTTTGAAAGAAAAATTCGAGATTTCAATGAACCTCTTCCTTTTTTTTATGAAAAAATTGATGAATGATACATTTTACTAATAGAAACCTATGCTGTTTTATTAAGTTCAAATGGTCATAATTTGAAAATGTAAAAAAATATGAGTGGTTCTTCTATAATAAGAGTGGCTCTTAAAGTAAGCTATTAGTACCGTTATAAAACTATGTAAAACTAAATCAATCGAAATCAGTCTATTAAATCAATAAAAACCAAGTATTTAAAGTCCAAATAACAAACAGAAATTTTTCAGCAAAGGTAATTAAATCAAGTTTTGGTTTGGTTATAAACGTAAAATACTGTTTAAATTCCAAACTTCTGATTGGAACTTAACAGCCTTCGGAAACTTAAAAATCTAATTAATACTGTGAAATTTTAACATAGAAGATGTGGGGAGCTTTGACGGGTATTTGAAAGGTATGAGTACCATAGAAAATCGTTTGATTGCAATAAATTTTGACCTTCATGTGTTCGCATCAAGCAATAACATTATTCCAAAATGTAATGGATACAGTTAATTGCTATTTTGATATGATTAACAACTAAAAGTGTGTTTCGTTTAATCTAATAACATAAAGCCACCGACAAGGATCAAAAATAATAATAAATAAACAAGTGGAATTACTTTAGCTGTATTAATCGTGTCGGTATATGCCTTTCATCCTGCACATGATTTCATAGTATTGTTCATCAGTATTGATTGATTATTTTATTTCTTTATTCACCCCATATTATGAACGGGTAGTTAAAAATAAAATAAAAATTAGGGTCATAAAAATTCATTCATAGTGGCCCTTAAAGTAATCTATTATTTACGTTACAAAGCTATAACTAAATCATTAAAAATTAGTTTTTTAAAGCAATCAAAATCAAATAATTAAAAACATGTTTTTATTTTAATTAGAGTACCTTAAAGTTTGTTCAGCTGCTGCTTATTTTGGCTCTCATCACCCACTGCAAAGCTGTGGAAAATCGTTCAGTGATACTTATTTCAACAACTTTAAGGTAAACATTTTCTCTATACATACTACAAGTTTATTTTTTACCCCTTTCTTAATGAAGTTGTAGTAAAAATAATACATATAATATTATTCTAACACTATTAATATTGTAAATTTTTAATAATATCTAACGTTTTCTTTTTAACTTATACTTTTGAACTAATTTATACAAACCTGAATTGAAACTATGCATTACACAAAATATGTAATAATGTCAAAAGGCATCATTTTTAAATGCGCATAATTTTAAAAGTAATTACATGCTAAACAAAGAGCAGAACTTCAAAAATTATTGCGTTAATAACTATTTAGCTATATAATTAACAATTTGCAACACTTAAACAAAATATGACACTTAAATAAAAAAGAACAATAAAATGGATTTTAAAAATGAAAAATAAATACATTTTTTTCAAGTTGCAGATAATACTGGTACAATCTTGGCAACTGTTTAGCTGGTGTTTCAAACCATAAAATAATGTTTTTATGATTCAATTTTATTTGAATAATAGAGCTTGCAAAAATAGCATTTTCAACATAATTTAAAATAATGTGAATGCTTTTTTGAGAAAAAAAAAGGTGTAACTTATATTTGCCATCTCTTTAAAAGAGGAAAAAAAATAAGGCTTTTTTTTTATAAAATTTTTTTTCTATAACAAGACTTTTTTTATGCATAAAAAATTTAATAAATAGTTTATTAATGCAAATAGCTGTATAATAATAGTCGATGCAACTCATAATTTTATATTAGAGAGTATGCATTGTAGAGTATACTAATTTACAAAACTTAAAAGTTTTTACAGTTTCCGTAATTCCTGGCCATACCATATACCAATACCGTAATCTATTGAATTTTTTACAGGGAAAACTTATCTGAAGTACAAGATATATCTAACACTATTGATAGTGAAACCAATGATGGTAAGAAAAGTTTATATATTTTTCTATAAAATATGAAACAATAAATATTTAAAAAAATTTCCAATTCATGAATTTTACTCTTGTTTTTAGGTAAAATGTCTTTTTCTTTAAAAACATATTTTAAAAAATGAAGCGGTTGGAAGAAAGTTTTAAGTGACATTTTAGTGAATTTGAAAAAATTAACTTTAAAATTTGTAAGTTTGCAATAGGAAATAAGGAAGATAAATGCGACGATACAAAATGAGATGAACTAAACAGAAGTTGGTGAAAAGTGTGACTGATCTATTACAGCTGACCAGCTGAGATAGTCAACTAAATTGCCACTAGGAACATAAAGGATAAATGAATCTTCGTATCCATTAATTTCCAATTGGCAGTATCTACATTTCCTTACAAATTGTTTAATTACTTGCATTATAGTGTTCACTCATTTTAACTAGACTTCCTCTTGCAAAATGCACTTGTAACATTTCACCACTGTAAAAATAGTCAGAGACAATAACATTATCCACTAAGATTTCTGATAGTTAAAGACTAGGCAAAATGTTGTAAGGTTAAATAACACTAAAAAAGTTCTTCCCTACCTAAAAAAGATTCAATTTCTTCAAATATGCCACTTAGAAACATTATTCACTTAACTCTTAAATGATGAAATAAATATTCAAGATACAGATTCAATTTTTTAATATTCAGTAAACGCTTAAAATTATGATTTTAATCTAAATTCTATTTGCTAGTCCCAACATTTGAAAGTGTTCAATACGGCAATAAATTTGAGTTGTTAATTTTATTTACATAATTTGAATGCTGTTAATATTAATGTATATCAAGTAGTTTTAAAAAAACCAAAAGATTTTGGAAATTTTTTAATAACTTCTACTAAGCCTCACAGTGTGCAGAGGATAAAATAAGGACAACATTCAAAAAAATTATATTCTATAAATTCTATTTTTGGAAAAAGAATTTATTTTTTTTTATCACAGGCACTCAAAAAGGTAAATGACAAATTAGAAAAAGTATAATTTACTCGACTTAACTATAATAAAAGCAAATTTTATAAAGGCAAATTCCATGGTATGATTACTATATTGACAGCACATGATTATTTTTAAAATCAGATGCAAGAGACAAATCAATAATTGTAAAACTACAAAACTCTATCCTACAAAATTAGTCACCGTATTTGTTGAAAATAACAAATAAGTATATGGCCCATGAACTCATCACCATAAAAATTTGATAATTCAAAATTGTTATTCAAGTTTTTCATAATATGTCTGAATGTCTTATTAAAAAGTTTGAAACAATGAATATTGCGGATAAAGCTATATACCTGAACTATTTGTGTAATTAGTGAACAGATCCCAAATTTAAACTATCGAATCTTGCGATTTTCACTAGTATTATTAATTAAAATGAAAAGATGTTAAATCAAAATTCAAAACCTTTCGATTCTTCAAACCAATTTTATTAAAATCCGAATTTGTATTTGTAGATTTGTGTACAGAAATCAGATGTTCTGAATGCACATTAAAATGTATATCAAGACAAAAATCTAAAAATTAGAACAAATGAGGACAAATATTTTTCTATCAGGAAAATCAAGGACTACTACGAATCTTGTTCTATTATAGGAATTGTTAATGATTTTTATTAATTTATCTTTTCTTTTTTCAGATAGTTGCAATGATGCAACACTCCATAAATGTGGAAGCAGTTTAGTTGGAGTTTTTAGGCTTCTAAACTATATACCTTGGGAAAAATCTTTTGAAACAAAGTGTGCTCTGAGAAAGGTAAAAATAAGAACATTTTCTCTATCCCATTATCAACCATAGCGATTCTTCTTTGAAATGTAAAATAAAAATAGACAGTATAATTATTTCACAAAATTTAGATAAATGCATATAACATAAACATATACTAATTATTAACACTGTCATTGCTCTGCATTTTTAGAATTCCGGTGAAAAATAAATTAACAATAGTCTAAAATACAAGAGTCTAAAATTAATAATACAATAAAATTCATTATGAAATCATAATTCTAAAAAAAAAATAATGCATCCTTGAGCTGAAGTAAAATTATGCTACTTTTAAAATTTCTCTTTTAATTCCTAGAAATGTTTTAAAGTATTGATATTTGAAACAAGTATATAAATGAAGATTTTATTTAAAATTTTATTTAGATTTTTCAATTTAAAAGGAGAGTAGAAAAAAATATAAATTAGTAAAATACATAAACATCAATTGTCTCTCATAAATATAAATATGTTAAAAAGCTAAGAAGTATTATTTTATATTAAAAATAGTTCATAAAAAAAGAATTCATTTTTTATCTATATACAAATTGCTTTTTTCAGAACTTCTTTGCTTGCATGAAAAAAGAATCAACACCTTGTAAGAAAAACCATTGGAGACTGAATCAACCAGGTTTTAGAAAAAAATTAGCTCGAAGTCTTTGGGCAACACGGGGCTGTGTACTAGGAATAAAATCTGCTATGAATACTCACTTCTGATTGGGCACCACAGATTGCACTATTAATGGTTTTATTAATAAACAAAATGGTTTTAAGAAAAAGATATGACTTGTTTAAGTTGTATAAGTTACATATAAGTTCTCTGTTATCTTTTTCTATGTAGTTTAAAAAAAGTTCTTAAATGAATGGGAATTACAGTACCGAGTGTCCAAAAAATAACTGATGATTGGAATCATAGGAAAATAAAATGTGTAGTTTGCTATGTTCTACTTAGGATTAATTCATTTCATTATTTCATTTTTGTTACTTTCATTTTTTCTTTTTCATACCATATTTCTAAAAATTTAATTCTATGATACATATAATTGTAAAAATAATTTACTCAAATATAATTTCCTCCATAAAATATTTTTAACAAGTATTTACTAAAAATTATTTTCATTTAATGAAAAAAAGTGGACTTTTTAGGTTTAAAAATGTGTTTAGCAATTTCGCTGCCAATCCTCAATGGCGCGAGACGAAATTCTTCTTAAAAGTTTGTGTCAATAAAACAGATCAAGCAGTGGCAAGATGTATATTATCCACCAACTATTTTTATTTTCTTCTCACAATAACACATTGTTTATTGAAATAAACTTATTGTGAACTTTAAAAACTAAAACGGTTGCTAAAACAAGAAAATGTAATTTATATTTTCTATAATTTATTGTGAATTTATCTTCATCGATTTCCATTTTTAAAGATAGAAACAGCAAAACCACCTTTACTTAGTCGGCAGTGAGCGAGTTAAAAATTTAACAGTCTGAAATAAAAAGGATTTTACTAAAATGTTATATTATTAAAGAATATCCAGAAAGCTGTGAAGAAACTTTGAAAATATGTTTATTTTTAACATATAGATCAATCAGTAATGAAACGATAATTATTTTTGGGGAAAAGAGAACTTTCTGCCTTTAGATAGATTTACCTCAAAATCGTTCTTCATAAACCATCATTCCATTATTTATATCTAGTTGAAACTATACAGTCCAGTTGATGTAAATAATATTACTTTTGCAACTTTATTATTATTAGTGTCCCCAGTGTAAAAAAAAAATACAAACAAACTTTTTTAATAAAATAGTTTATTACATTACAGTGAAATTTTTATAGATTTAATGTAACCATATGATATTTAAATTGAGGTGAGATGAATATACAAATTAGTTTATCAGCAGAGATGAATTTTCCAAACTCTTGAGAATCAACATAACATTGTTGATATCCACTTAGCATTAAAGTAATAAATGGAAGATTAGGGATTTTTGAAAAACAACTCCTGCAAAAGGTGAAATGTAAAAAATTAAATGAAAAGAAGTGAATCATCAAAAATATTTATGAAACACATGGAGAGATAGACTTTATGAAGACAAGTTATGGATTTTTATATTGATGTCTATTTTTTGGGAATAAGTTTAACACAATTTAAATAGCTATAATAAGATATTCCATATGAAGTATATTTTTTGTGTAAATCGAAAAACTAAAAAACAAATTATTAAAAAGTTGATTTTAAGTTTCATTAAAGATAGAGGGGATTTCCCAGAATATTTGACATGATTATTTTTTAAAATTGGAAACATATAAAATCTAATAGTAGAACATTTGTCACTAAAAATAGAAAATATTATAGAAGTAATTTACTATTAGCATATTGAATTATATTGTTGTTTAGGTCTATCATTAAATGAATTTAAAAAAATCTCTAGTTTTAATAAAACTCTTTTTTTTAAATTTTTGATTATTTATATTTAATGAAACCATGTGGCATGGAAATTCTTTCAGAGCAGATATTACCCATTTCGGCAAATTCTTAAAATCTCCACTTAACCAGATAAGCCAAAAATTTGCATCCAAAAAAAAAAAAACTTTTTAGATTCCTTTCAAGGTGAACATTCTTTAAATTTAAAAATTATTTTTCGCTTGAAATTTTTTAAAACATGAGTTTTACATGAATGAATCTTTTACGGATAGATAAACAATGGATTAAGAAGAAGGACAAGCATATGTGAGTGATGGGGGAAATTTTATATTTCTTTCTTTTCTTTATGGAAAAAATACAATTTTTCCAGCCCCAGTGGCCAAATCCCTTAAACTGAATTGCCAGAATAAGAATTTTATAAATGAGAATACATCTGTAACCTAATGGTGTTATCAAATGAATCCTATGATACAAAAAGACATGAAACACTATGAATTTAAACACGAATTAAAATGTAACTTGAATTGTGACATTTCTTTTTAATTAAATAACTTCACAAGTAATATAAGTGGTTTAAAATTGCTTAGCATGAAAATTTAGAACTAATAAATGATATCTGATATTCAATAAAAATGTTTAACGTAATAAAAATATCCAATATAATATATCTAAGAAAAATAATAATGAGCAATAAAAATGCCTTACTTGGCTATTTGTAGTGCTTTGTTAATTTCACTTGATGTATAAAAACCTTGAAATGAATAAATGTGAAGCTTTCCTTTTTCAGATAACTCAGGCACATGAAACTTACTAGCATATGCATCACTCTCATCAGCACTAGAAATAATATAATAAGAAAAAGATAAAATGAATAATGGTAAATAAAAAAAATTTTAAAAAAATACAAATACATAACTTTAAAGTAGTTAAACAACAGAGAATGTTTCATTATAGCCATTTTTTTAAAATTATGAGAAGACATCGATCATTTTAAGTTATTGGGAGACTTACTTTGGAAAATAGAAATATTTAGATAACATCTTTTTCCTTTTTTTTTAAATATGTTCATCAAAACTCTGAAACGACTTTTTTTTAATAACTAAATTTAATTTTACTAATTTTGTCTTTTTTGTTAAATAGATATTAAAATTATTATTATCACTTGCACTAACTATTGCCCCACTCCTTCACTTTTTTTTTTTACTTTAATTGCTACTTTTACAAAATAATCAATTCTAAGTTTTCATGCAATACAAAGAGTATTTTCTACTTTAAAAGCCTAATGTATAGCTAAGTTATGATTAGGACTGGGCGATATTAGAAATTATATATTGTGATGCATCATCAGTTTTGCATCGCGATATAGCGATGTATCGCGATATAGTATTTTTGAATTTCATTTACTTGTAAGGCACAGAAAGTCAGATTTCTATCGAAACTCCATACTCAAATTGATTTAAATCAATTTATAAGTTTGAAGATATATATGTTTTGCTTAAGAAAGATATTAAATAAATTGACTACTATGCACAAAACTTACTTAAAATAATTAGTGAAAAAATGTGTAGATACAGAATGAAATATTTGCACCTCTTTATCGTTTATAAGGTATTAGCAGTCTAATTAAGTACCTAATTACCTAAATTATTAATTAATTAAATTATTAATTAATTATTAATTAATTTAGGTAATTATTAGGTAACTTTACTAAGCTTTTAACTAGAAATAAAAGAAAGTTTAAAACGATAGGTTTATGAATTATTTGAAAATCAATTAGTTTAAGCGAATGAAATTTTGAAAAAAAAAAAGTTTAAAGTCATAAAAAATAATTTTACTAAATGAGCCATATAAAAATAACTTTGATAATTACATAATTATTAAGTTCGATTGTAATGTTCAAATTCTAAATGAAAAAGTAAACACAAGTTTGTTATATTTTCTAAAAATGATCACGCAAATAACGAAAGATTTCTTAATTTAAAAATAAATAATAAAAAAATAAATTAAATAGAAATTTATCAATATATTTACCTAACAATATAGAAAGAAAATTTAAAAAATAAGTTCGTTAAAAATTAATTGTATGTTCAAAACAAAGTGCTAAATAAATTTTAAAAAAAAATAATAATAATAAAACGCTTTCAAATCACTATTTTTTATTATTATTATTTCACATAAATAATTACATTAAATTGAATAATGACTGAAAAACAAAGTAAGGTTTAATTTCTTAAAAATAAAAACAAAAGAATTGTGATATTCGATAATATATTTAGCTAATTAACTAATAATATTAAAAGAAAATTTAAAAAAACTGATTGTAGGTACTCTCTAATAAAACGAAAAAAAAATTAATAAAATTCGCAAAAACCCATTAAATTATTAGAAGTTTTATCCAAAAAGTTTTTAATAAATTAAAAGAAAAGAAAAAACCTAACAAATTTAATTACTTTGTAACTTAATTCTTAATGGGCGCCTTAAATTAGATTTCTGATAATTTTCACATTTAAAAATAAGAAAAAGTTTTGTTGAAAAAAATTACCTAATTAATGACGAAACTCTTTATAAATTCTTTTCAATAATAGATTGCGTTCAGAACAGGGCAACGGCAGCGATCACGAACTTAGTCCCCCTGAAAATAATCTACAAGAAATGATATCAAGTCGCGACAAAGAAAAGTAAGAGGTGCGAAAACGAACATGCGAGATCACGATATAGTATTCTCAAAACTCTGGTTCTGATTCTACCGCTAATCAATCAAGGCCATCTCAACATAACGAAACGAACACCCCGAGTCGGCATCGGAACGTAAGGGAAGATCCTTGCTAGTCTTATATCGCTATATCGTCTTTCCTCGAAGACTTAAATCAGATTTTTGATGCATCAGAAATCTGATGCATCGCCTGGAACGAAAGTCGCTGTATCGACTTAAATATGTCGCGATACATCGATTTATGGCCCAGTCCTAGTTATGATAGCATATTATTGAAACTGAAAAATTTGGTGGCATGTTAAAAAAATTTTTTTAAATAATTTTGATTAATATAGAGGTATTCGGAAGAATGAGGTCGGATAATCAGGGTTTTACTGTGTAAGAAGTATACAAATCTTTACAATTGTGTACATAGTCAGTTTTTTTCTTTCTGAGTAGACAAATTTATAAAGTACAATTTAAGTTAAATTTTTTTTTAAAAATTATTATATTTTTCAAAATTATTTTCTAAATTAACAAACAATATATTAAAATGACATCAAAAGAAAATATAAGTTTAAAATGACGCAATAAACTAAATTAGAAATACTACACAGTACAAAAAAATAAATAAAATAAAAAAGTAATAAGCTTTTTTTCATGTATTGTCTCTTTTTTTAAAAAATTGTAAAAATGCATCAGTAATAATCAAACAAAAAAATTCAGCTTTGTAATCATCACTAAAAAAATATATGTTCCAACTTTTTCAATTTTGAAACATTATCACAAAATTAAACATTAAATAAAAGATAAAACCTTAATATTTAAAAGTAAATAAAACAAAATATTTTAAATTAATAATATTTAAAAAAATATTTTAAGAAGAATGTAGTTCAATTATGAGTATTAAGATCATAATAATAGTACACAATATTAAAAAAATAAATAAAAATTTTGCCAAATAGGCATTCATTAAAAGAAGTCATTAGAACTACCATGAAATATATAAAACTACCAATAGATTTGAATTAAAATTGCTATTGAACTTTTCCTTTAGAGCCAAAAAAATTTTTTTTGGAACAATTAATACCAGAATTTCAACAATTATAAAACTTAACAGATGATTGATATTGCATTAGGTTTGATATAAAATTAAGTAAATAGCTGTAATCTGTAGTACATTTAACACACTATGAAAAACCATCTTACAACAAATAATGATTTTATTCAAATTTAAGTAGTGCCATCAACTTTTAGTAAATAAGCATTGTGCTCTATCTATAATAATGAGGACACTTTTTTTTAAAACATTTATGAAATCAAGATAAAATGTCATCATTTCAAGAATATTAAAAATTGTACAACAGCTTTCAATAGGGATGCTTCACCTCTTGAAAATTAGCCTAATAAATCAACAACAAAAGGTAATATCTTTTTTCATTAGTGACTCATGTTTTGAGGTAGTTGATAATGATATTGAGAAAGTGAAAAATAGTGCTTGTTTCAGTACTATTCAAAGGAAATAGACTGAAATTGTAGTGAAATTAAATATGCAACAATTGAAATAAAAGTTACTCTTACTATTCAACACCACAGACTTGTGCACCAACCCACTCCAAAGCACTCTCTACCAATGTTTGATCCATACTCTCGAAGTTTAACTGAGGAATGGGCACGTCGAATTTTATTTCTGGTTTATATTGAGGTTGGCATGGATGACACTCATAACCTTTGCTTTCAAAATATTCTCTTAAAGATTCACAACATACATCACCTATAAATACAAAATGTCGCTTTAAAAAAGGCTTAATAGCAATTATCTAAACTGAAAAGCATTAAAATAAAGGCACAAAATTACAAAGTTGTTATCATCAGCCGAAGATATTATTATCGTCCTTCATACCCACTTGATATTGTATAAATTTTACTGTTTTACTGCAATAAGTTTCCTGTGTTCACTGTTACTAATTTAGCACTTAATGGTCATAAAGAATTCCTAGCTTACATCCTATTAAAATTGGGGGAAAAACAAGCATCTGGAAGGCCAATCTTTGAAGAAACGTATTGGGTCTGTTCTGGGCTCTAGTGCCAAGAAGAAGATAATTATAATAATTAACTACAATATTAAATGCAATTATAAGTATACTTAATTAAACTTATTAAATTAATTGTTAATGTGACAATAATGAGAATGATATAAATAACAAGTCTTTTTTTCATAATACACATGGCATTAGACTCAGTATAAAAAAGTACCATGCAATTTTATGGGGGCATTTGTGTCCATTAAGGGTTAATAGTGTTATCTTTACTAAATAAAAATTAACAATGAATATAGACATACTAAATAACACATGCTTGAATTCAAAATTTTACACAATACCCACAAAAGCTTACATATCTGATAATAAAGACAATGAACCTCATATTATAGCAAAATTAAGTTCCTCCAAGCAATGTATTAATTTAAGGGTCTTACATGCATTACGACCACATTCACTTCTTGACTAAGTCCCAAAAGCCAAGACCTTGTATACTAATGTGTTATTTAGAGAAGAAAAAGTCACTCTTTTAACTTTAAAAATATAAAAAAATGGCTAGTTTTTATGGCCTTGGGAACTATTTTGAGAACTATTGAAATGGATTTCAATTCTAAAAAAAGACTGCTGATTGAATGGTTTATCACAAAATAAAGTTATTATTTAACATTTAGTTAATATAATTATCGAGAAGTGATCTAGAAGATTATCTAGAAGATCTCAAGTGCAATAACATTTTTACTACCTTTAATATTAAATTGACTTTTAATGAGTACATTTTTTTAAATTTCACTTTTAGCAAGGATTCCAAAAATACATATCAAGGACATTCATTACGGAACACCCTGTATGTTTGATACCTATATGTCAGGTATGAACTTTCAATTCTAAAAGTACTTGCCAAACTAAAAATTTTGCTCAGCACTATTTTACATTTATAAAAAAAAATTAACAATTTTTAAATTGCTTACAGATTTAATATAAAAAACTTAAAGCCATAAAACTTAAAACCATATAAAACTTAAACCATGAAAGACTTAAAAACTTACAAAACAATAATAATGTACACTCAAAATAGTGTTATCTTAAGGTTTCAATGGTCTCAGAAACCGCTGCATACTATTAAAAAGACAAGCAAGAAAAACAAATTTCAAACTGCGCCCCTTAATGGGTTCAACTACTCCCACTAGAAATCTAAAAAGTACAAAATTTTAGGAAATCTATATAATTTAAACCTTTTGATCCTTTCCGTAATGGGTGATCATTACGTAATGGTGATCAATTTTAATGGATCACCTATTCGAGAGATATTACAAGAGTATTTCAAAATTGCCAACATATTTTCAACACTGTTCACTCTGAGTCTATCGTAAATCCATGCGGTTTTGACAGTTGTTTTTGATCAGTCTTCTCTAAGGAGTTGTTAATTCAGATTCTAAAACAAGAAATTTACTTGCCAGTTTTAAACATTAGATCACTAATGTCGAACTAGAAGGTAGAAATTTTATGTTCTGTAGATATGTTTATTAATACGTTTTTCAGAAGATATTAAAAAAAAAAGATATATAAGAATGTTCTTTTGAGCAAGCTACTACTATCCAGTTTTGAATAACAAAAAAAATTGATTAGCAATTAATAAAACTATAATAATAATAAAGATTAAAGTGACACAATGAGAAAACTAATAACTAAATACCTCTTGGTATCCATTTTAGAAGCAGATCGAATTTAATATGATCAATTTTTTGCAATTCTGAAGAAACTGTTTCATGCAATTTCTTTCCAGGTGAAAAGTCATTGGAACTTATATTGATGAAATAAACTAGAAAAATATTAAATAAATTTAAAAACAATGAAATAATAACAATCTATTAAATATATACAGCAAAAGTTTGTTATGACAAAACTTCATAACAGCAGGTAAAATTGTTGTTATCGAGAGCTTATCAATGTGAGCAAGTACACATATTTAATATTAAAATAGCAATAAAAATACTAAAAATTATATAGACATAGTTATTTCTTTATCTTTTAATATTGAACAACTATTTTGATTCAAATACATTTCTAGAATAGACCTTTGCTCACAAATTGTAGACTGAATTACATAAATAAGTGCTGATGGTGGGGGGGGTGGAAATGTCTCCTTCAATAATTAAAAATCTCTATAAGTCCCCATGTATATTTCAGGCAAACGAAGAAAATTTTCTCGAATTATCATCAAATTAAATTCCTAACAATTAAAAACGAGAGAGATATAAAGTAATTTATCTTTGTGTGGTATTTTAAGTATTCATTTGTATTCATCATTATTTTGTGGTCGCTTTTAAGAGATTTCTTTTTATAATTAGAGAATTATTGGGTCCATGTAATTTAATTTTGTCCCCTTCAAACATGGACCTTTGCAATGCCCATGATTATGCAGCTCTGTATTTTAAGAATGGCAGAATTGTCTACAGCAGGAATGTTAGAATAAAAGTTTCCAAATCATAACAAGCTTTTGCAAGAAGAAACTGAAATGAAGTTGAACCTTGTTGATGTGAATTCGGCAGAACTATCATAATTATTTCCTGTTAACCGAATTTCGCTTTATCCGACACATCATGAATGAGCTTAAAAGTTTGAACAACTTTATTAAACTATTTTATTTTTTCTATTTCATTTATTTGCCCATTTGCTACTTCTAACAAAGCAAGAAAATAGAAATAGCATTCCTCAAAATGAATTATTGGGATTTTATTCATATGTTTATTTTCTGTGCTATCCCCAGTTTCCTTTCATGTTAAGCGATAATCAGCTTGAAAGTTTCATGTTAAGCATGTAAAATACAACAATAATTGATTGCTGACTCACGTGACCAAACATGTATTTCATGTAAGGTGATATTTCACATTCATTAGTTTCACATTAATGAGGTTCAACTGTTAATGTTTTTTGACATTGATAAAAGTGAATGTTGAAAAAAGAATGAATACGGGAAATGGTACATGGGGTCACCAAAAAGGGAAATAAGAGATATGTGGGCAACAAAAGGCAGATTCTTTTGAAGTAAGCATCAGCATTTCTATAAATAGAAGAACTTTTCTTTTGTTAGAAAGAAGATAACTTAGTCAGTGGTTGCTCTCACATTGCTTTATAAAAAATAAGAGATTAAAATTGTAAGAAGGAAACAAAATTCATTCATTTCACAAATGTTTCATCATATTATTAATTTTTCTATATTGATTTCAGATATAAATAAATGAAAATGTCTCACATTCAAACCTTTTTTGCATAATATTGTTCCCTTAAACAACAGAAAAATGCATTTCTCTAAAAAAAAATTTTTTTTTTTTACTTTTAAAAGACTAGCAATTTTTAACTCATTATAAACATAAAATTTTTGAAAACTTTAATCATACATTTTTTGCAACTTCAACATTTTGACAGTGTCTCAGAAATTTGTCGTAATAGCCAAATTCTTATAATATGCTACACTTGTTATATCACACTTCTGTATTTATTAAAACATGGGTTAAACAATTTATCATTTTACAATAACAAAAAAAGCAATTTAGACAATATCGCTAAATTAAATATTTCAGAAAATCTAAGATATGAGAGAAAGGAAATTAAATGTAACAATACAAGGTTTGTTAAAAAATATATATCTTATCATGACCAGAAGAAATCTACTTCTTTCAAGACAATGGAAAAAACTGAAAGAAAGTGAACCAAATGGAAGACACTAAAAATAACCAATACAATTGTTTAGCAATACTAAAGAAGAAGTAGATTATAAGAATAGCTTAAATTTAAACAAATTAAAGTAAAAATAGTATCAGAAAGTTAAATTAATAGTAATAGTAATTAATAGTTAATTCAACTATTTCATAAAAATAACTATTTTTTTATTATTTATTACAATTTTACATAAAATTTTGTAATCTATAAATCATATTATTTAAAAGTAGGTTTGAGTATTCACACTAAAAAAATATTTGACATAAAAAACTTGTGCTATTTGTAATTTAGTGTGTTAGTATATATGTGATAAAGTGTGATTATGATATCATAACAGTTTATACAACAATAAATTAGGATTTTACTATTCATATTTACACTTTTGATTTTGAAAGACTACAGTTCTTTTAATATTTTAAGAAGTTTACTACTTTTTTTTTTCTTTCTGATTGTGGCTTTTTAGTTTTCACATATTCAAATATGACATTATAAATAGCTTGGAAACTAATAAATTATTATTTTAACAAGATTTCATTTATAAACCATTTAAATAATTGCTATTTGTTATTTCTCTTTGAAAAAAGGTTCCTACATTTCTTGCACTTGGGTTGAAAGAAACATATTTCTTTCAGGTAAGTTTTTTCACTTGACCTTCCTGATCAGGAGGAATGAAACATTTAGAAATGATAAAATAAGACTTTAGATTTGCTTCTATAGCCTTCAGGGCTGAATTGCTAATGATAAACTACATAAGGATCATGGCTGATTGCAAACTTGACTATAAACTACTAATTGTTTTTCCATACAAACTTAGAACTCATTTATTGAACCTGAAAGGAGTATATGATTTAGTACCTCCTCTGATTTTGAAAGAAATCATACCATATAGATTCAAAAGTATAAGAAACAATCATTATTAAAATATATCCAATGATGGGCTTAAAAATATTGCATAAAAAATAGGAATGTGAAATAAAATGTTAGTATTAAAAAATAGAACATAGAAACTAACTTTGATGAGATTTTGCTTCTTTGAAATGATGGTTGGATGATTTTTCTCTCAAAAGTGATAAATACCCAGCAACATTGTTTTCTAATTGTACAACCAGCTTACCTGTAATTAATAATCAAAAAGTTCATAAAAAAAACATTTTATAATTTTAGCATAATACATAAACTTTGAAAAAAAATATATAAAATAAAGAATATATTTCAATTCTCACAGCTATTAACTGATTACCTGATGCTGTAATCGTTACAAGATTGCCAACATCTCCATTATTGCTTTGTGATAGTGCACACAACAAACCTATATTAAATTAAAACCATAATTACTAAACTTTTATTGGAACATTATTTACTAAACATAACTAAATTATGAATTTTACATAACTTATCTATGTTTTGTGTGTATCTATGTACATATATGACTTTTATTAATTTACTATCCCATTAATGCTTCGTGTTAAGTTTTTGTAAAAGCCCATAAGCTCACAGAAATTATTCATTACACTAAAATTCTTTTGGAGTATACATTTCTTTACAACTAACACAAAATTAATAGATATTCATTTTAAATTGATGTTTTTAATGTCAACACACATAAAGTATTCAGTTGATAACACTTAACATTTTCAAAGAGGACTTGTACGCTTTAATAAAAGTATATTTATGAACTTAGTTAACAAATTAAATAAATTAAAACTTAGCTGTAACAGAATTTTTTTTCAAATTTATAAGTACTTGTACAGAATGAGACTTGTTTAAGTTACAACTTTAGTAAAATAAAATTAATAATTCAAAAAAATAAAAATTATTTCATCATTATGTATGTTTATAATTTTTTTTTCTACATTGTAATTTTTTTTCTATGGTGCAAAAAAAGCACAAATTTTGCACAGAAACTGAAATATTTGCAAACATTTTCATTACTACTACTAATAAAGTATTAACTTTTAGAAATTAATGGGTGAAATTATACAAACCTGTTCTCACAAAATTCTCAATAAACGACTCATGAATAAGAGAAGACGCGGGAACTTTTTGTGCGAAGAAATAGTTACTTTCATCTGAAAGCAAAATCGTTTTAAAATCATCAACTAGAGTTTCAGATGAACTAAGAAGCAGGTGCACCTGAAATTACCATGAATTATGAAAATATCAATGATAGAATGAAGAAATTATCAGTATGAAAATTGATTTTAGCTTACTGAATGAAAAGGAATGCGATCAAATAATTTGCATTTTTTCAGAAGATATTCCTCATCGAATTCATGAAATTTCATAATATGCTCAGGCGGGGGAAAATTTAACATGCTTATAATATCAGAGCAAAAATTTCAAAGGTATTAATTATTCACGATAATTATTCAGATAATCATAACTCTTGTCTTTTCAGATAAAATAAACTTTTAAAATTTTCATCAAGAAGGAAAAAATAAAGAAAGGAAGGAATTTTGGTTACAAAATAAAATATTTTTATTTGTTGATAGTTTGAAGGAATTCAATATAATCCTTTAAAATTATCTTTTGCTTTTAGCTTACAGTAAGCTACAAATAAAATTAAGCAGCAAGCTTGCTGCATTGAAAATGGAATAAGAAGAACGTTAGTTGAGCAAAAACAAGCAGTTTAATACCTGAAAAGTAAACAAATGAGTTTTCGTGTTCGTCAACTTGAAACAAGATCGATTTCTTTAATAATGGTAAATTGCTTCTATTAAGGTGGGTATTTGACTTGAAATATCAAACCAATTTTGTTACAAAATGAAATGCCATTACGAAATTTTGGGATTATCCCCTGATTGTTCATCCGAAGATCTGAAAAAGGCATACAGAAAATTAGCATTGGAATGGCATCCTGGTAAAATATTTAACTATTAAACACTGTTTTTAAATTTGAGCTTAAATAATCATCATTTAGAACATTAATATTTATCGCTCGTTCTTTGACACTTATTTTTTGGCAAATTAATATGGTACAGCATTGTTTACTGGAATTTTCAGAAATTTATAACTCCCTGACCCCAAAATTTACCTTTTTGTGATAATGGCCTCAATCACTTGTTTTTTTTTTCTTTATTTAATTAATTTTTAGCAAACAAAAAAAAGCAGCTAATCGTGTATATTTTTTGCACCTAAAATTGAATAAAAAGACCGACCACTAACTTTTTTCGGAAACTATTAGTGGTATTAACAGAAAAAAAGCAGCTAATCGTGTATATTTTTTGCACCTAAAACTGAATAAAAAGACCACTAACAACTTTTTTCGGAAACTATTCAATCTCTACTGATTTTTCGCTTCGCCATTATTTTTCGTTCTATCACTAAAATTAAAAATAATAATAAATAAATCTTGATTTATTTTTGGCCAATGCAGTAGGGGAGGAGAATAGTAACTTCAGATTTATATTCAGCAGTAGTACAAATCTCATTCTTTCTCTTTAATTGCAGTGTGACATCAATACTTGATCATTTTATAATGATTGTGAAAAATAACATTGTTTTTATAGAAATGAATTTATTTTTGATAGAAAATATATTAAATTTTTAAGAAGGAAAAAAAAGGAAATTAGTTTAAACAAGCAAATGTGAAATAATATTGATGGAATTTAGTCCAATGATTTTTCTCAAGACTGATTTCAGTCCCCAGGACTGAAGAGTGGCACACATGTTAATAAGTAACTGAAAATAAATAAGAGTAGATGTAAATGACTTTGTTTTAAATTTCTTTTTAAATTTTTCCCTTTCAAAATGTATTAAAATTTAAATATTGATTTCCTTATTATTTTAATTAAAAGTATTTTCATGATTTCTACTGACGTTCTTCACTTCATATTTTCAGATAAAAATTTGCATCGACTAACTGAAGCAACAGAAATCTTTCAGCTAATTCAACAAGCTTATGAAGTTCTTTCTGATCCACAAGAAAGAGCTTGGTACGATCGTCATAAAGATGATATATTAAGAGGAGGTAATTTCTCTATACACATTAGTTCTTTTTCTTTTTATGTATGATACATGTAAGCTTAATTTTTAATTATGACTGTATACTAGATGAGTTTTTAGATCATAATATATATTTATATATGTTTAACCAGGCTACAGTAACAGAAATTAGTTTTAATTAATTTATGAAGAACAAAAATAAAAGAAGGCAGCTTATCATTTGAAAAGTGGAAAAAGAGCTTAGAGCCCTTCAAGGGCTGTAGCAAGGATGAAATTATTAAAGATTAAATTCTATTCGTTTATAAAATTTTAGCTATCAAACTTTTTCTACCCTCTATTAATTTCTATTTATTGTAATGTACTGTTTTAGTCTTATCTGATCTATTTTAATGTAGCTAATAAAATAGTCAATGGCCTCTGTTCGTACAAATGTATACATATTTTAAATAGAAATAAAACCAAATAAATGATTTATAAATGATTAATGTTTCCTATTCAGTATATATACCGTGTCTTTTTCTGTTCTTTTTTTATGGGGAAAGAAAGAAAAATACCAATATAAATTATTTGAAAGCACATTCACTTGGAATTTATCAGAGTAAAAGAAAGAAAAAAATCATGAATCATAGTAATTTTGAGTTCATAAACTTTAATTGTTTCAATTACAACAAGGTTAATTATTAAAAATATCGCCTCAAAAGAAATTACTAGAATTAAAGGAATTGCTAGAAATTACTTTTTATCCATTATTTTTTTGTTTTCGTTTTGACACTTGTAACACCTTTTATTTTCATTGATTTTTTTAACGCAATATTTAATGATTTTTTTTTTCTTAAACTTTCTTTGAAATTTTTAATAATATGGCAATTATGTTGTTGCTATTATTTCACAAACAGTTTTTAAAAACTTAACTTATTATCTAAATTTTGTTCACTTTTGTGTAGCAAAATCATTGTTAATGCGTCAAAATTGTACTAGTTGCTACATGTTATCAGATATGTTGGCATGAGTGGATTACAATTAAAAAAATAAAATACATGAGAAAATAACCACTTGATAATGCTCATGTATGGTGGTCATTGAAATAAAATTTAGTTCACATGGTTGATCAGTGTTATTAAATCATAATGTTTTGTCTTGTTTATCTAAAATAAACTTGATACCAATATTACCATTATATATAGATTTTTAAATTTAAATTATTTCTGCTTACCAACAGAGAATACAAGTATAAGTTATTTAAGTTTAACTTTTAAGAATTAAAAGTTATATTTTTAGATTTGCTCTAATAATTTAATAGAAGTCTTATTTTTGATTATAAAAATACCATTATTGTTCGTAGTATCCTTCTAGCATTTTTATACACTTATAAAAATTCCAGTGTTGCTTCACAATAAAAAAAACTATAATTGAACAAACACCGTATACATTTGCAGAAAAAAAAAAAATTCTCAACACTTGTTTAAAAAAGAAGAAAAAAAACAGATGAAATTTACAAAATTAATAATTTAAGAAAAAGAACTGTAAATGTTGATATTGAATGAACAACATTGTATTGTCATCTTCATGAATTATTCTGCAATATGAGTTGTTTTACAATTAATTGCCTTGCATTTTTTATTACTATTAAATGCATGTTAATTATGTTTTAGATGCAGAAGAAGCCTTCAAAAATAATACCTTAAATGTGTATCAGTATTTCAATACAAGTTGTTTTAAGGGTTATAATGATGGTGAAAAAGCAAGTATTATTTATCTTCTTTTTTTTCAGTGAGATTGATGAAATTGTTTTTTTTTTTTGGGGGGGGNCTTTTTTTTTTTTTAGTGAGATTGATGAAATTGTTTTTTTTTGGGGGGGGGGATAATTTTATTTTTTATCTATTATTATAAAATTTTGATAATTTAACTTCGATGACAGTGATACATGTTTATAGAGTGTCTGCTTTCTAGAATGACCTCTCATTACAGTAACCCCTTCATTATAATGACAGGATACATGAAGTTCTATTTGCTATTCCTTAGAGGCAATGTGTAAGTTAAACTCTTTGACAAAAAAAAAAAAAAATTTCTTTATTATTCCCTTAAAAATCATTTTGTAAATAAGTGTCAAACATTTTTGTTTTTTCAGAGCAATCACTACCGCTGACTATAAGTCATTTGAATCAACAAAAATTATTAAAAAAATAATTAAATAAAAAGAAACTTTTGAAATGCAGTTTTTTTTTTTCAGTAATGCAATATGAGTATTAGAAATTCAGTAAGGTGGTCATTTTGAATAATATGTACATTATGATTAAATGAATAATGCAATAAAGCAGATATAAAAATGTCTTTAAAGGGTTAAAAATTGTTGTTTTTTGGGTCACATCTTTGGCATTTAAAATTTTCATTATAACTTACAGATAAAAATTATAGTTATTATATTTTTTCTTGAAGGAAGCGTTTCTTTGTCTTACTAAAATATTTTAACAAATGCTATGATTTAATTTTCAATAATAATTTTTTTATGCATAATCCAGCAATGAATTACTGTTGTATTTTGTTCAATATTTAAGACACTATGTAATTTACCTTTTATGGATGATGTATCTCAGTTTTCTAAATTTTTCATATTTTATTTTCAAGGGTTTCTATACTGTATATCGTCAAGTTTTTGAAACAATAGCTACTGAGGACAAACCTTTTATGGATGAAAAAGATTTTGAAGCTCCAAGCTTTGGTTCTTCTGATAGCTCCTATGAAGAAGTAATGTTTTTTATCAAGTCAAATTTTTTTATTGTGTTGTGATATTCATAACTTCTTTTTTTATTAGTATAATGCCTACATAGGAAATGTTTTTTTTTATTTATTGTATAGTACTGTATTTTATTTTATTTTATTCATTAGGTGTCTCACTCAGTGTAAAAATATTTTGCATTCCTTTTAGCTTTATTACTCATAAGCATATTTTGTTTTGTTGCATACTGTAAACTAATTTGATATAACATTTATTTTTCTGAAATTGAGGTCCTGTTTGTTTGTAATATCATTCACTTGTTATGGCACTTATTACTATTATCACCAAACTGCAATCTGGTCAGACAACCTTTCAACAATAATGGCACTTAAGAATTATAATACCACTCACCAGATTGTACAGGACATCCAAAATCTACTTAATAATACTAACGGCCTCCAAATTTCATAGATTAAAGCACATAATAACAAGTGTAAACGAACAAGCAGATAACTTAGCTAAAGGGGCAATTAACAAGAGGCAATTTTTCAACATCAAAATTCCACATTCATTCATTAAGCTTAAAGCTTAAACGCAAAAAATTAAAAGGACTAACAACACTACTGGCATCATCACAAACTCAAATTAAGAATATTAATCAGAGAAATTTTACCAAATGCCTCATTCAAACCAGTAGAATGGAATAGGCAGCTAATCCTCTTCTTTACAGGGCATGGCCATGAACAGAGCATACACAAACATACAGTACATGTACAGAGCATGGCCATATCTAAAACGCTTCTGCCTGGTTACTGACTACACTTGTGCCTGTGGTTGAGTAGGAACAGTGTGGCACTATGTAATACAATGTCCGCTTACCACTTCTCCTACCACTTTAAACAACCAAAGCTAGAATTCCTCTTATCCTGGAAGAGATCTATCTATAAGAATCATAAGTTGAAACAAAAGGCAACCAACCTGATTAATTTTCCAGAAGAATGCGAGGAAATCCTGAAGTAATTTTCATGAAAAAAATGACAAAATTATGCAATAGTGAGCCTCAACTAAACTAAACTAATTAGCTTTAGATACCCTCTAATCAAAATGCCCTAACTATTATAAAAATCTTTTTTCTTCTTTCAGTTTTTTAGTTTTTTTTTTTTTTTAAATTTTGTATTTGCTTTTTTTTTCTTTATTGCTTTTTGCTATTTTTCTCTGTCTTCTATTTGTCTCGCCTTCCAACCTTAACCATTAACCGATCAGTGATTAAATGTCCCTTTAAGGACATAGGCTCAGGGTTAAATGTTGGTGTGTGTGTTACTATTATCAAATGGGGCTTTATCTTGTTATGTTATGATCATCAAGTCTGGTATTTACTTATTTCTAATACAGTACAGAACCCGTTATCCAGAAATCAGAAAACCGGAAAACCAAAAAACCGGAACGAAATTCAATGAATTTTCTCGCCATTTTTTAAAAAAAAAAAAGAAATTTTTCCTCATAAGATTTTACGATTTTTCTTTCTTTTCTTAAAGATGTTTACCTTACNGAATTGAAAAAAAATACTGTCTAAATGTGTAAATTGGTAATTCATCATATTTTTATAAATAAAGTAAACCTTATTGTGTGTTACTTTGTTTTCAGTTTTCATTTCGTATTAAAAAAGTTAATTATGTGTGTATGAAGTTGAAAAATTAGAAATGGGTAAGTAAAAAAATATTTTGCTTGTATTTGTGACAGACTGTTTCTTCAATTGAACACTAAATTTTGAAGTTCATCAGTAATTTTCTCTAGATGAGAGTTGAAGTTTTATTTTAGTTAACATAATTTCTTTATTTTGACTTTATGCCTTTTCTGCTGCATGTTGTTCATCTAACAATTGTAAAAGCTAAAGAAAATTCTCTGTATTAGTTATTTATCCAATAGCATTAAGGGATATTTTACTCAACTCTTGTTATGTTATGATCATCAAGTCTGGTATTTACTTATTTCAGGGTTCCCACGGGTCAGAGAAAACCGGGAAAACCTGGAATTGTCAGGGAATTTAAAATAAGCAAAATAAATCAGGGAAAATCGCTAATTTTCGCGTAAACCTGGAAAAATCCTACGGCAGACCTGGAAAATGATAGATTGAAACCTGTCAAGCTGATTTTCGTTCATGCTGAAGCATGTCGCTTACTGCGCATGTGCAAGATTATCGATCTCCCTCTACGTTTGACGTGGATGTAGTCAGAGCCAATAAGATTTACCCAAGTTACGTCACACTTTACGTACGATATCTTTGGCGAATGGATAGGTGTATTTTCTCCTCTCCATTCTTTTCATCCCCCCCTCCCGCGCTATGAAAATGGCACGTGTGATCGAAAGTAGATAAGGTACAACATAAATTTTGTTTGTTTTTTCGGAGGAGGCTTGTGAATTTTGTGTTCAAAGTTCGTTTTTTTTTTTTTGCTGGATTTTTATGTTACTTTTTTTTCAATTACTACTTATTTGTTATTTGAAAAATGAGCAAGAAAACTGTGTTTAATTTAGAATGGACTGATCATCGTCTAAGTCCGCAATGGTCAAACTGGATTAAAGAAGTTTGCAAAGATCCGTTCAAAACACGTTGTCATCTCTGCAACAAAACGTTCAATTTGAGTAACATGGGAAGGCAGGCTATTACTAGCCACGAAAAAAGTGAAAAGCATAAAAACGCAGTGGATAGTACAAAACAATCATCGATTGTGGACATTTATTCAAATATAACACGTAATAAAGAAAGAAAGTCTGGTGCTGCTGAAAGTGAAAATACGCCAACTATGTCAAAAATAACGAAATTCATTACAAGGGAAGAATCCTTAACTTCTGAAATTGTATGGATTTTTAAAGTTGTAATGACACATTCATCTTACAATGCTTTTAAAGATGTTGGATCGCTGTTTCAAGCAATGTTCCCGGATAGTGCTATAGCTAAAAGCATTAGCTTGGAAAGCTTAAAAAATGGCATGCATTGTTTCATTTGGCTTAGCACCCTATTTCCATTCTTTACTTTTAAAAGAAATTGGATCTTCTTCTTTTGTTTTGTGCTTTGATGAAGCGCTTAATAGTGTTGCGCAAAAAGGCCAAATGGATATTATCATCCGCTATTGGCCTGAAAGTTCTAACCAGGTGAAGGTGAGGTATTTAACTTCTGCCTTTTTAGGCCATTCTACTGCTGAAGATTTGTATAAAGCATTTCTTGACAGTGCAGCTGAATTAAATTTGCAAAACTTGTTGCAAATATCAATGGATGGACCTAATGTAAATATGAAGTTTTGGAGACATCTTTATGATGAGTTAAAAGAGGAAAAGGGATTTTCTTTATTAAATCTAGGGACTTGCAGCTTGCATATAATTCATGGTGCATTTCAGAGAGGCAACAGATTTTCGAATTGGAAACTGAATATTTTATTTCAATCTTTATACAGATTGTTCAAAGACAGTCCGGCTAGACGCGCGGACTTCATAGCTTTGACAAATTCAAATGTTTTCCCATCAAAATTTTGTCAAATAAGATGGGTCGAAAATGTTTCTGTGGCCGAAAGAGTGTTAGAAGTTTTTCCACATGTTTTGAAATATTTTGAGAAATGCTGAAAGAATTTGCCCAAAACTGTGACTGTTGCAAATATTGAAGATGCTATCAGAGATAAACTCATTTTAGCTAAGATAGCATTTTTTATTTCAGTCGCTGCAATCTTGGAACCTTTTTTAAGGTCATTCCAAAGACCTGCACCAATGGTACCATTTTTATTTGGTGCTTTATCACATATATTAAGACAGTTAATATCTAGATTCATTAAACAAGAAGTGTTAAGAGAAGCCAAAACACCTCTTCAACTTCTAGAAATAGAAATAGATAACATTAAAACACACAAAAGAAGCAGTGAGCTAGATATTGGCATTGCTGCAAGAAGCTTTCTAGTTAAAAGTGGGGCCTCTAAAGCAGAAAAAATCAATTTCTTTAAAGAATGCAAAAGTTTTTTTGTAAAGATGACATCTAAAATTATTGAAAAGTCCCCTGTAAATTTTGCTATTGTTAAAGCCATGTCATGCTTAGATCCTCTTTTATTACATTCAAATGCAATTTTATGTGAAAATCGCATGGATTTGTTATTGCAACTTTTACATGAAAGTAATATTTTACCTGCACTGGCTGCTGATCGTGCAAAGCAGCAATTTTCTGTGTTCACCAATAGTGTTAAAAATGAGTGGAAATCTGCTTTTGTTTCATACTCTTACAAAGACACACTTCTGGATGTTTTTTTCCAGTTATCTAGATAAAAAAGATGACTTTAAAGATTTGTGGCAAGTCATAAAAATTGTGATGACTCTTTCGCATGGGAATGCTTCGTCTGAGTCCGGATTCTCAATCAACAAAGATATGTTGGTTGAGAATTTGCATGAAAGATCTTTAGTTTCGCTCCGTGCAATCAATATAACCAGTCAATATAACACCAGATATGCTTCAGCATGTGAAAATGTCTCGAACACGATACCACATGGCACTAGACGAGGAAAAAAAGCAAGAAGAAAAAGGTAAAGGAGCTGAAAACCATAAAAAACGAACATTAGCTCAAATTAAAGTCCTTCAGCAAAAAAAAGCCAGACTTGCAACTGATCTTAACACTGAACAACAAAAAATTGATCAGGAGATCAATGAATTGAAAAAAAATACTGTCTAAATGTGTAAATTGGTAATTCATCATATTTTTATAAATAAAGTAAACCTTATTGTGTGTTACTTTGTTTTCAGTTTTCATTTCGTATTAAAAAAGTTAATTATGTGTGTATGAAGTTGAAAAATTAGAAATGGGTAAGTAAAAAAATATTTTGCTTGTATTTGTGACAGACTGTTTCTTCAATTGAACACTAAATTTTGAAGTTCATCAGTAATTTTCTCTAGATGAGAGTTGAAGTTTTATTTTAGTTAACATAATTTCTTTATTTTGACTTTATGCCTTTTCTGCTGCATGTTGTTCATCTAACAATTGTAAAAGCTAAAGAAAATTCTCTGTATTAGTTATTTATCCAATAGCATTAAGGGATATTTTACTCAACTTTTATATTAGTCACTTGAAACGCATTATTTTTCATACATATCAGCAGTTATATATATAACATCAATATCAGTAGTTATATATGTATATATATTCTGATAATTAATAGTTGTTCATTTTTATTAAAGTTGGCATGCGTAATTAAAATGTGATCTGGAATTTTATTGAAATTTTTCTGGAAAACCTGGAAAAGCCAGGGAATTTCACTTCTGGAATTGAGTGGGAACCCTGTTATTTCTAATATGTAACTGAAAATGAGTTTCTTGTTAATAATCTTGTTGTTGCTTGTAAATAATTAAAAATTGAATTTGAAGATTATTGAGTTATTGACAAGTCTGAGAATGAAAGGAAAAAATTGAAATATCTTAATCTTTCCACAAATTGATATAGATTATCTGCTTCGACAAATAATATAGAAATCGTTATATTATGTAAGAACTGAACTTAAGTACTATAAAAAAATTTCCAATTCAACTTAGTGGTATAAACAGTAAGTTGCTTCTAACTTTTACAGCTAGCTGTTGTAAGTTAATACTAATATTTCATTTGATAATGACTATTTCTTTAAAACTAAAAAAGAAAAGAAAAACTTTTATCTTTAAGTCTCTCAAATATTCAATGTTTGAAGAAATCTTTATGAAATGTATCTTTTAATTTCAATTTTTTTAAGATAAATTTGTGTTAGTTAAAATTTATAAGTGTTTCTTAGTGTATTATTTTTTCAATTCACTCCGCCTTGCCTCTTTCATGTTATTATTAGTTTTTATTTACAATTTATTCAATTATTATTTTTATATAAGTTTGTATTCTAATAAATAACTTAGCCACATATGTATGTTTTGTTTTTACTCTCTTCCTAATTTATTAATAGGATGCTAAAAATGTGTTATTATATTTATAAACTCATTTTTTTTAAATTTTAATTTATCTATATATTTCATTTTTGTCCAGCATATTATTTACTTGATATTCCCAAATGAAATAGATAATATATTTGTTTTCCAAAGTATTATTTTGTNTTTTTTTTTTTTTTTTTTTTTTTTTTTTTTTTTTTTTTTTTTTGTCTATTTAAAGTATTTCTTATATAACACAAAGCTTACTCAATACTTTGCCATTATAGGTTGTACACAGTTTTTATGCATACTGGCAGAGCTATTGTACTGTAAAGTCTTATTCTTGGGATGATAAGTTTGATTTAGTTGAGGCTAGAAAATCTGGTGCAGGCAGGCCAGTAATCCGTGCAATGGAAAAAGAAAATAAAAAACTAAGAGAACAACATAGAAAAATCCGAAATGAGGAAGTCAGAGTATGTTTTCTTATTTAAACTTATTTAGGTTATTCTACATTTACTTTAATACGAGTTTTCCAAATTAAAAAAGTTATATGGTGTAACTACATTACATTTTCTCATTTGTTTTCCTGTTATATATGTTTTGTATTTTTTGCAGGTAGTGTAAATTAAAACTTCTATTCTATTTTTCAAATGTATATTATTAATGGCTTAAATATATTTTTAATAATGAAAACTAAGTATGAAGTTAAAATTTTAGTTTTGTAGATTAAATCGACTAACTCATTTTACTGATTTTCTTTTAAATAAACTATGTCAATTTAATGCTATTACTTTGCTTCTCATCGAATTAAATTTTCTTGTACATCTTGATACAATTATAACTTTTTTATTCTTCAAAAGTTCATTGAAATGTAAATATTGCTAAATATTTTATTTGAAAAATTTATATTATTAACATTATTTTTATAGCAGCTTTTGTGAGCTTGTTCTTAATATTTTACATTTTATTTACATAGGAACTAGTAGCTTTTGTGCGAAAACGAGATAAAAGAGTTCAAGCTCAAAAGGTAAATACTTCACTTATATTTAAAAATTTCATCCCAGTAATTTAAGAAAGACTTTAATTGATATTTAGTTAATTTAAGTATGTATAAAATATTACACCAGTTAAAAGTAATATGAATTTATGCAAATGAAGTCAAATAGTATGTTTTTCTTTTCTCTTCTTTTATGATCAATCTAAGATTTATGAAAATACTATTAAAATATGTATTTTTACTTTTTATTTTAATCCAAATAAACTAAATACTACATTTTAGAAATTAGAGGAAGAAAGGAAAATTGAGAAAGCAAAAAAAGCAGAGGAGCTGCGAAGACAGCAAGTTTTAGAACGTAATAAGTTAGTAATATTTTCTTACTATTAAAAAAGGTGTTTTTGATGTATATGAACGCTTCATATCTTTCACGCATTAGATGAATAACATTCACACTAATTATATTTTAATATTTCTCTAGAGAAAAGTGCAAATGTTTTGGATGAATTATGGTTATAAAACATTACAATTTTTTTTAATCTATTTATCATTCTTATTAACTGACTTCTGTATAAACCTATATTTTTCATTCAGCTTAAATTCTTGTAATTATTACATGTGCCATAAACATGCATATTTTAATAAATTACTGAGATATTCACTAAATGAACTCAGTTGCAGTTTCAATAGACAACTATTGTATTTTTGTAATTCAAACTTAAATTTGATTGGAAAAGAATTTCTAAATAGCTCTAATTTCTTTTTATCCTCTATTTCCTTTTTATCGTATTTTCATTTTATACTAACTATTTTTCCTTTTTAAGTTTAATAATTGTAAGCTTAAGTACACTGAAGCCTCTTGGAAGCGAACACTCGGTTCCACAGTAAAATGGTCGTTAATGGAAGTTGGTCATTTTAATATTTTTTGTTTTGTTTTGTTTTGTTTTTTGTTTATACTTGTTTGTTTTTTAATATTTTTAAGTTTGATATTTTTCGTGTTTCCTTTTTTGACCTTATTTGTCCGGTCGCTGGAAGAAGTTTTTATGGTCTCTTCTAAAGATTTTCTTGAATACAAAGTCTATGGAAAAAATTCTGTGCCTCCCAAAAGTGGTCTCTCCTGAAAGCTTCACTGTACTATTCAAAAATATAAACTGTGCAAACATAGATCTCAGCAGGCTAAGCTAGCATTTCAAGACTTTAGACTGGATATTTGGGCTGTTTAAATATTATGTAAGCACATAATAAGGGGCTTAGGGTTTGTTATTTGCTTATTTTTACTGATAAAGGGGCAGAAGAGTCCGAAATACCCCAAAAAATATTCTTATATCATATTTGAACTCTGCCTTTGTTACAAATTACTGACGTATGCTAAGGAATTTTTTTTAATTTAAGATTAACCAGCACACAATTAAATTTACATAAATTTTGTGGTCTTTATTTTGTTTTGTGTGCTTAAAAAAAATTCTAAAAGAACATGTTGAAAGCTAATAAAATCACTTGATTATGAAATCAGCAACTTTTTTTAAAATCAGATCTGCAGATTGGAATCATTACAATAAAAATACATGCTAAAACCATATTTTAATAAAATAATTATTGCATTTTTGTAAAATCAAATTTTTGTAGGACATATATTTTAAAAAATGAATCTGAATAATTAGAACTTTCTGTTTTCTCAAGTTATGAAAATGTATAAGTGTCAAATTTCATTCTATCCCACCCGAGCAAAAGAAATGGATGGGAATTATACTTCTTAGGGAAATTGTGGTGTGAAAATAATAATTATACTACTGCAAAAGAAATCTAAATGAAAACTGTTTATGAATTGAGAAAACTTATGAAATGCTATATCAATAATCTTCATTTACTCAATTATTCAACGTAAAGTAAATCTATCTTCAACAGATGTCAGAAAAGCATTTGATATTTTTAAAATAAGCTTTATAGCAAAAAAAAGTAAATATTGAACTTTACAAAAAAAAACTAATTTCAAATATTCTATTTTCAAACCATGTTGAATTCTTAATTTTAAATTTTGTGAGTCAAACAAATATGCTAATATTTTAAAACCCTGCTGTAATGTGTTCATGTTTAAATAAAATCTCAAAATTAGAATCACTAAATATTAAATATAAATGTATTAATCAATTTGGCTTTTAGTGTAACTTTAAAGTCTAACTTTGAATGGTTTTTCCCAAGTGTAGACATTCCAATTTATGAAATCATCCACTTCATAAAATCAAATCTTCGAACGAACTCTTAGATTTCAATTCTTAACTCTTAGAATTAAGTTGGCAGCAGGCAATGTATAAGTAAGATTAGGGACATGACAATTGTTTTAATAATATTTGAAGCTTATTCATATTTCCTTTTAATGTAACTTATGCTAAAAATCTCAACTAATGCATTACGTATCTATCTTTTTGAAATATTATCTCTTAAAGCATACAGTGCACAAAAATGACGCTATATCTGAAAATGCTCTTAAAGATTAGCATTTTGTATTTGTACAACCAAGTGATTAACTTATGTTTAGTAGTTGGCATATTGTGTTCATTAGTAAGACCAATTACTACGTACAAGATTTCATAATCAAAATAAGCTAACACTCTTTGTTTATATACTACTCTTTATTCACTTAACACACTATAAGGAAATAAAACCACTGTATACGAGTTTTAGTTACTATTATTTAATCTTTATTATGAAAACTAAGTTTCTTTGTTTTTAAAGATCTTTAGAAAATTATCAAGAATCTGAATGGGCATCGATGTCATTGTTAGAAGAAAAGTTTAATGAATTAGAAAATCATATTGATGATACTTTTGGTGCAGATTCATCTTGTACAGGTAACGTGAATATTATTGGTTCAGTTAATCCCTGATGTTATTCAATGAATAATCTATCATTTTGTTCTATATTCTTTTAATCAGTGCTGTTCTTTTCCATAATTAATATTTTTTTTAAAACTTAATTCTTTTCTTGATTACAGATGAGGAGTATGAATACAATGAAGAATTATATTGCATTGCTTGCGAAAAGGATTTCAGATCAGTGCAAGCGTATGTAGGAACATTTGTTCCATAGTTGTTGTTTTTTTTCACAACATTTTAGTATTGTTAATTTTATTTTTTCCTTCCATTAAATGCAGCATGAAAAACCATAAAAATTCAAAGAAACATAAAGAAAATGTGGCTACTTTGAAATTACTAATGCAAGAGGAAGATGAGGAAAATTCATTGGATGTAAATGTACTAGATGATAATTCAGCAGGACCTGAATCTGATAATTTAGAATCTAGTGAAACTCTTTTAGGTGATCTTATAAAAAGGTGATGAAAATAAAGTATTTCTCTTAGTAAATATTTTATAAATTATTGCATTCTTATATGATATTGTAATTTCTATAAATTCCCTTTAAGAGTTAATCAACTTGTGTTTTACACAAATTCACATTTTCTTTTTATAAAATATATAAAAAGTAAGATTCTATTGCTTTTAAATAATTCAATAATTTTATATTTTTGAGAAAAAGTCTCTATGGAAGAATACCTGTAGCAAAAAGGTATTTTCTATATTGTTATCCTAAGTTTTTCAGTAAATGATATTTTAATTTAGATTTAGAAGTCCTTAATTGATGCTTGCTTTTGTTTTATATTTTCTTTACAAATTTTTCTGTTGCACATTGCAAGCTCTGAGCAACATTTCATAATTAATTTCTTTTAAAAAGTTTTTCTATGCCACCAGTGTCTTCATCTAAGTCTGAAATATCATTGTTACTACTCATTAGATTGTTGAATTATGCAATTTAACAAAATATTCAGATGAACAGAACAAATTTTATTATCAATGATCCAAATGAAAAAAACATATGTTGAAATACATTAAAGATCATGAGACAAATCATGAAATATTTCCATTTAAGACAAGATTCCGAGATTTTTGCTGTCTTCTTTGAGGTAGAGCTACTTGAGCCCATGTAGGCCCTAATAACCCTTGTGTTAAACTATCAGCACAACTTCTTGCTTTCAGCACAACATCTTGCTTTTTTAAGGTAATTTATAGCTAACAATTAAAATAAAGATCGCATAATGAACTTTCTGAATCACGGTGGCTCAGGGAGTAGAACATTTACCTCCCAATGAGATAACCCAGGTTTGAATCCCAGCGATAGCTCGTTGGTAGTTATTCTGTTCCAGACTCGCACCGACCACAATTCTGATGAACAATATCCTCAGTGATAGGTGGATCTTGCATTAGAACCTCCTTGACTTTTAGTTAACCGTGGGAGGTACATGTGGTTTTCTTCTCCATGTAATGCAAATGGGGATTAATGCCATCAAAAATTCCACCACAAAGACAAGTTTGTCCCAATGTTTGATCTAGGTTTTTTTGGTTTGAGTTCAAAATTGCAAGGCTACGGAGTTGAACATTGATGGTCATAAACTCAAAATTGGGTTGGCTATTCAGCACTGATTATAAAATAATGTAAAATGAAATGAAAATAAAACAAATTACTGTCTAAAAAATAGAACTGTGCATTTACTTAATTCAAGAAACAAACTCTGTTTTTAAAGAACATTAGAATTAGTAGTCACAAAGTACTGGGCTTTTCGCTGGACATTAGCATGACCTTCACTGAACACTCATTAAACCTCATAAAACTATGTGCATTGTGCCAGTACCTACAGAGTGCTGTTCCTTAGCAGACAAGCTAAGAACTGATATTAATTCACTAAACCTGTGCCAAAAGTAAATGTAATCATTCTTGGTTTAAGTTACACCTGAATTGTGATGTTTTGTTATGAAGTTTTTTTGTTCATTTATATATCGATTTTTTGTCTGTATCCTACAATTTTTATGCTTTTACACATTATAATTTTACGCAGTATTCACTTTGAATTTTAGTAAACTTTCAATCTAATGCATTCTAGAGAAAAACAATTTTCTCTCTTTTAATTGCATTTTTTAAATATATTATCCTATCTGTCAAGACATACTTTGAGCGATGTAGTTCATTGCTTATAGTATTTGTTGATACTCTATTTGTGTTCTTCTGTATATCTTCTTTCATAATCATGTATGATATATTTTTTCAAAATTTAAAACAATATTATGTCATTTTTCCTTATATTTTTTATAGCTCAACAAAATCAAAAAGAAAGAAGAAGAAAGAGAAAAAAGCCAAATGTATTGATACAGAAAGTGATTTGAATGTCACAGAAGTAAGAATTGAAAATAAATGGCTATTTAACTTCATAAATTTTCATGTTAATTACTATTTGTAATTATGTGTTCATATATAATGAACTCAGTGTTAGCTGTATCCTAGGATTTATTTTAATTAATCATTTATTATTTTAATTTTTAGTAATATTTAAATATTGATTTTTTTAGTTTTATGTGTAATTGTAAAAAAAAGTTGTAGTTATATTTTTTGCATTACCATCAATTTATAATGCGTTAAATCTGATAGAAACAATTAAAAATTTCAACTTAACAGAAAATTGATTTATTGTCAATTGTTGACTTCAAAAAAATGAGTATTATAAAACATTTTAATTAATACTTTTGGAAATTTATGAAATTTAATAAAAAATTATATAAATAATAGAGTTGATTCCATCTTTAAAAATACATGCTTTTTGACTATCAGTTTATAGATTATTATTGTTAGAATATTTTTAATAACATTGAAAAAGTGTTCAGGGGAATAACATAACTTATTGCTATATCCAGCTATATGCATAATATACACAAATGTGAGAACAACGTTTGCAGAAAATTTGTCACAGTGGTAAAACGAAAATTTTAAAAATCTGCCTATTCTAAATATTTATTAAGTGTTTGCATTGAAATGAATTTCACTGAGCAATAAACACTCCTACACAAGTTTTAACAGCAAATAATAACCCTGCCACATTTCTGCCAATACTGAAAATTCCACTTATTTCACCAGATTTTCATCAAGATACCTTAATAATTTTTAAAAAATGTGTACATTGAACTAGGGAATCATAATCAAATTATTCAAAAGTGATTGGAGTATCTTATCTATTCTACCAGATTGGTTATTCCATAATTTTTATAACTCTTGAATGATATTAAAAACAAAAATATATAAGGTATTTATTTTTCTTACAGGAAATTTTATAAAGGTTAATTGAAGGTTATATATTTGTTCATCAATATGGATTGATCTCTTTGTACAGTTAATTTAACATGATTTTATTCCAAAAAAACAAATGAATAATGATAGAATTGTTAACTGAGAGTCAGTCATAAATTAATTTGTTTGGAAAAAAGTATTTAGTCACATTTGAAATTAGTGTAACACTTATATGAAATTGAAACGGAATATATGTGTTTAAAAAAATATTTCACTAAACTACAATTTTAAACTGAATATTAGATTGTTGGTGATTAGTAAGAAGTTATTCTAAATGAGATTTCAGTAAGTAATGATACTTTGTAACTATAATTTTACGGTTTAATAAATTGAACCACAAAAGGAATTTGATGACTTGAATTAAAAGTGCCGAATATATTTATAAAAAATTTATATGTTATTTATGTAATAATTACTTTAATAAATTTTATTATTCTTTAATTTGTAATTAGTATTGTTTCATTTATCATTTTGAAAAATATTTTTGAAACTTTTTAGTTACTGAAAAAAATTTCACTATTTTTTTCTTCCAAAACTACTGGCTTACGTCTGATTAAAAAGCATAAAATTTATTCAGAAATTGGTAGGATTGAAATGAATGACTTATATTTGAACAGTTACTGTTGACTTTCTTTTTTTCAGTTCGGATGAACAGCTTTCTAGAAAAGAAAGTCTATAAAAACATCCAAAATCGAATGGCTGAAAGTAGAAAACTATTTTATTTTTTTATTTTATAACCGTTGCTGAACAGCCAACCCAATTTTGGGTTTACGACTGCCAATGTTCAACTCTGTAACCTTGTAATTTTGATCCGAATTTAGAAAACAAGGGAACTGCTGGATCAAGTATTGGGAGAAATTTGCCTTCCTGGAGGACTTTTTGATGGCACTAACCCGCATTTGCGTTACATGGAGAGGAAAAGCGGGAAACTCTCCAACAGTTAGCCTGTAGGCAAGGGGACTCTAACCCATTATCCGTCTACCACTGAGGATATTTTACGTCAGCACTGTGGTCGGTGCGAGTCGCCTCATTAGAAGGCAAACACTCTATCCCCTGAGTCATCATGACTTAAACTATTTTAATTAAACATTGACGGATAAACACAAATCTACAACTACGCATTGAAGGAACAAGGCGGCCACTTGCAAAACCACAGACAGCACTATTGTGCCACATATCATACTAAAAGAAGAAGAAAAAATGAATACTAATAAACATAATGCGTAATAAAGTTTCAAATGTTCATTCCTTTTTGACAGTTATATTTGTATGGAATCCTTTAATTTCGAAATTCCAATGCTATATTCTGCAGTTTTAATGCTGACATCACAAACAACAAAAAAAACAAGTTTATTAATTCCTCACAGCTATTAACCCTCTCTCTCTCTCTCTTGCTGACTCAACATGTTCTGACCCATTAAGTTTATTCTACATGGATTGCAAGAAAGTGTTATTTATTTTTTTCAGATTTAGTTTAAAGGTGTAATAATTGAAAATAATTAACTTCAAACTGAATATAAAAGGGCCAGTAACTCATGATTGAGGTATAGTCAATTGACTGTGTTTCTTGATACATAGCATTAGATAATTTTTTGGTTCAGAAATATTAATTTGAAATTGATGAGATAAGAAATTTGCTATGAAATAGTTTTAAAATATAGTTATAAAAATTTCAATAATATACATAACTCTGCTTTCTTTTTTTTTTTAATTTTACTGTGAATTTTAAAAATATGCAATATTTTTGTATTGATGTTGTTTAATCAAAAATTTTATTATAAATTTTGCATTTTATGAAAGGGAAAATTTTTATTATCATGATCTCTTAAGTGTTAAATTATATTCATGTTAAAGTAACCTATCATACATTGAGTTGTAATACTAATTTCGAAATATAATTTTTCTTCTAAATTCTAGAAATTATACGAAACAGGTGAAATTGTAGAAGAAAAACTTGAAACTTTGAATATTAATGACAACAAGGATATAAATATTGATAATGAGAGTACGATTACCAATAATGAAATAAAAGATAATAAAGACTCAGAGGAAGAAACAAAAAAGAAGTAAGTATTAAGCTACATTTATATTATTTAAATTGAATATAATTTCAATAAAAATTTTAATGTTATTTTTTTGCCAATAATAATGAATTTTATAAATTTCTTACATTATTTATTTATCAATTCTTGATTAAATGTGGCTGTTACATATGCTCTGTGTAAGCCATACATAGAAAATAGAATTTGTTATGCTAGAGAATAGCCTGGAGTTATCCTGTTCAAGTTATGCATTGAAGAATTATCAAGTTTAAATTATATGTCTCTAAATTCAAACATAAGTTCAGACTACTTTTTTTTTCCTTAATTTACATGCTCTTAAAATGTATTTTGCAATACTCATTTTATATTTCAGTAATATTGTCAAATTTCTATCATTAACTTCAATAGTAGGAATTTTCTGATGCATAGAAAAATTTAAATTTTCAATACACATTTATTATTCAAATAAAAGAGAAAAGAAAACGTCTTATAACTGGAACACATTTCTCAATACCCCCTAACTTAAAGAAACATTTATAATTTTGAAGAAAAAAATTTCCCCTAATTTTAAAAGAGTTTAAAATATTTTCTTAAATTTAAATTTTTTGCAATTTTATGAACTAGTTCGTCAAATTGTCATGTTTAAAAAGAAGTCGAGGTGTAAGATGTGTGTACATAAATAAGAACATTAATCCATAACATTGAAAATTAAATTATAAATTTAAAAGAAACTGATACTTCAAAGAGAATGATGACAAAGAAAAATTTCAGTAAAACCTAAATTCAACTGAAGAAGCAAAGATAGGGACATAGTTTTATGTAAATACAAGTTATATAACTTTTAAAATGCTAACACAGTTCTTACTTAATCGAAAATGTTACAATTATTTATATTTTTTGATATTCTTAACTTCTAAAGTTATAACATTTTTAGTGTCTACCTTCAATTTTGTGATATCAAAGTTTTACTGTATTGTAGTTTTATTATTAATTTATAATGTTTCGCAGGATATCCCTTTCCTTTTTATCAAACCTTTTTCTAATTAAATAATCATTAAGATATGTTAAGTTATATTTCAGTAAATTTTAAGTTCTTTTTTTTTTAAAGTAATGCATGTAAAAAGAAAGGGAAAGCTGCTTCTAAAGGGAACTCCATTATTTCAATTCCTGCTGAAAATGAAAACGAAGAAGTTGAAAAGGTTTGTTGAAAGATATCTATTGTTTTGTATTTATATATGTATGTTCTTTTTTTTGAAAAAGCAAAATAAGGAAAATAGACTTTTTATTTTCATTGTATTAACTTAAATATTATAGAAATACAATAATTATTTTGTTACAAAGATTTATTTATTTACCTTTATCTGATAGTAAACTTTATTTTTAACAATTTGTTAATTTTATTCCGTAGTTTTGATTAACTTAATTTCAATAGGTTGTTTTACTGACATTCTATAGCTGGTTTCAAGACTTCTATTAAATTTTTACTATCACGTGTATTGTGATTGGATAAATTGTGTTCCTGTAATGGAGCTTTATATAAGTGAATCAAAAAGAAAATTTCTTTCTTTACTCTTATGTAAAAGCATTAGAGTAAATAATTCTAAAATCAATTACTGTTGTTTCTTGTAAAGTTTCCATTATCATTGTAAAGTTAAAATTATCATAATGTTGACTTAATTTAAAACATATGAAATTAGTTAGTACAAACAAAATAAGCAGAACTTTCTTTTAACAGTTTTGTTTTAAAAAAAACTTTAAATGGAAATATATTTGCAAAATATTACGATTTAAATAGGTTGGTAATAGATGTTAAAATTTAGCATATTATATTCAAGTGAATTTTGATTCCTAATCATAAGTAAATAAATTATTGCTTTAACAGTAATATGATTCTGCAAATAAACTACAGTATATTTTGATTTATTAAAGCAGTTTTAATTTTTTTTATTTATTTCATGGCTAATATAATAATGTTGCATTTTTTCAGTTCTTATGTAAATGATTTTTCTTATAATTTTATAAAATATAAAATCCACTACTCAAAACTTTCATTTGATTAGAATCTGTTACTGCAAAATATTATATTTAAATATTAAATAAAAAGATATGAAAAATGTACTTATATTGTAAATTTCTTAATCTAAATTATTGTTAAAATTTACCAGGAAAAAATCTGGTTATTGTTAAAATTTACCTGGAAATTTTTTATTAAGATTTAACAATGAGAAAAAAATTCTTTTTACCTAAAAAAAAAAAAACTCTTATATTTGCTCTTCGTTTTATATAGTTCTTGCTTAAAAGCATTCTAAGATTCGTTATGTACACTTTTACTTATGACTGATGCAGCAGATGGACTGAAATTACAAGTGTTAACACGTTAAACACACTATAAAAAACTGACAATTCTTTTTCAATGAATTACATCAATTTAGTTAACAATAGTCCCAATTGTTTATTTTCTATGACCAAAGAAAGTTTTTTTTTTAATGATTCTTCCATATAATGAAAATGTTTTCTATAATACTTCAATAATTATTTATTTCTTTTTCTTTTTACAGCCTATTACTGTTTGTGAAACATGTAATGTAAATTTTAAATCAAGAAACAAACTTTTTGATCATTTAAAGGAAAGTGGACATGCCAGTTATAAGAATGTAAACTCAAAACAAAATGCTACATCTAGCAAAAAGCAACGAAGAAAAAGAAATTAATGCTAATTTCTAGAATATTGTTTAAAATTTTGTAGTTATTTTTATTCAATATACTACTTTGAATTATTTGTTGACGGGGGAGTTCTGTAACAAGGAGCTAGTCGAGGGCTCTTTGAATATCTTCAACTTTTATGTTGTAAACTTTCACTCGACTTTTCTGTCCTTCAGTGGACTGATTGTAAGACATGGTTCCCAGTAGATTGCCAAAGTCAAACATCAGTGGCCATGGTCAGGTATGCGACCACGGTGATCAGTATGCAAAGGATCCAAGCATGTACGGTATTAGTGTCCTTTTTAAACTCTAATGATGATTTTACGTGTGGGTTGTCGGGAACCATACATCCCCTCTGCAGAAGATCAAATTGCGAATCACCCTTAGAAATGCTTTCTAAGCCCATTGTACAGCTCTAGTATGATGTAAATAAAGTAAAAGAAGTTAAACTTTTCAGACAACCCTGTTTATAGTTTTAACAAATTCTAATATTTTATTTAGAAAAAAAAATTACTTTTTAAATTTTTTTGATAAATCTAATATTTAAGATTTAAAAAAAATATAACAATATATATTAAAAACTTAAATAATAATATTCGATTCATCATTTACGGAAACTTAAAAACCGTACCTACAGCCTCTGTCTAACTGGTGTACCTAAATTACACCAATCAGATTTTCAATTTACCAATACATAACATATTTTATCAAAATTTTCTTTTAAATGAAGAGTTACATTATAAAAATATTTTATTCAACACCAAATGGTATGGTATTTTTCAGTATTCAAAATAATTCAGTATATATATACAGTAGGGAACCGATTATCCATAACGATCGGGACAATCGCTATTCCGGATAACTGATTTTTCCGGTTTTCTGAATAGCTACAAAAAGCCGCTTTTTTATTATTAACCCAACTAAAAATAAAAAAAATATTCGGAAATAATCTTGAAAAGAAGAAAAAACGATGAAGTAATACACTGATGATTATTTCCAAAATGATGGCAAGGTAAATATCTTTCAAAAAAGAGAGAAAAATCTTAAAATCTTATGAGGAAAAAAGCAATTTTTTAAAAAAATGGCGGGAAAATGTATCGAATTTCGTTCCGGTTTTTTGGTTTTCTGATTTCCGGATAACAGGTTCTGTACTGTATATATATTAAAAACTTTAAAAAAGGATAAAGTTTGACTCATAATTTTCAGAAACTTAGAGAGCATTCTTAGTGCACCTATCAAATCGGTCTACCTAAATTGCACCAATTATATTCTCAATTTCCTTATGCATATAAATTTTCATTTCAATGAAAAAATTACATAAAAAAAACAATTTGCACTTTACCATGGAATATTTTTCATTACAATTAAAAGTTTTATATTAAGATATTTTATTCAAAATTAATTCATTTATTTGCTTAAAAGTTAAGAGAGGTTTCATACAATTTTAGCAGTCTCTGATGTTTAAACTAATTGAACTATTTTTACTCTTTATGAACAATAATGGTTGTAACAATTTGGAGTGTGCTGCACTGGTCCCTGTTACAGAACTCTGCCTCTCATTCCTGTTCCCACCATTTATATTTAGGATGTTTATTTTAATATTTTTCCTCTTATTATATCTGTACTTATTATATCTGTACTTATTGCAAATATGTATATCATTTGAACTTTTTTTTCTTCCAATTACTTTGACTATATTACGCAGTAACTGCAACACTTTAAATGACCACTCTGTTATTTTGTAATTAGATAAAATCAAATAACTATCTATAGATTATGTTTATATAATAATACTTATCATTAGGGTTCATATACCAACAATGTAAAATTAGTGGTCCAGAAAATTAATATGGCAGACAAACTTGAAAAAAAATATGGAACTTTACAATTGCATGATTCATGTTATGGTACACATGAAGAGTTATTAATTGCCATCTATTACACCCTAAATCTAATTAGGTTCAATATCCCATAATGATTGAAGATTAGATGGGAAAACAAAGAGCTAAAATAATATTGGTAAATAGATTCAGCATACAGATTAAAATGCTGAGACCAAATAAATAAATGAGGAAAACATAGAAAGTAAAAACTAACAAAATATTATATTGAAAAATTATCTAAAAATTCTGAATAAAGTATTTTAAAAGAACAAAAAATGATGTTTTATTGATGAGCAATTACACCGTCAGTACATGAAGAAATACCAGAGTTTTTGGTGCCACTTAAGAGAAATATGTATATATGTTATAATTGTTATCCTCACATACATCAATAAGCGACATTATAAAAGTTTAAAAATAACAGTTATTCCATTTGAAAAATCTTGAAACTAAAACCTAACCTACACATAGAATAAAATTAGTACAACAATTTTTTTTTTAAGGATGCATGGCTTTCAATGCAAACAAAAACTATCTTTCGTTATTATTTTGTAACTGTTAAACATATTTCAAGGCGTAGAACTTTTGGCGGCAATTGTCGCAATGTCCCAATACTGGTGTGAACCCTACTGATCCTCAAATTTATTTTCATAGTTATTGTTTTTAAAAAATGAGCTGTCATTAAATTATCACTTTAAAGATCTAGATAAAACAATTAAAAAATATGCATTTATTAATATGCATTATTATTATGCATTATGCAATAATTACAAAATAATGTTTTTTATCTAGTACTTAATCTAGTTCTTGTCTTTAAATTCCTCTCACATGGTATTTAGATCTACATTTTTAAATAACTGATCTTCTCAATTCTACCAATATTAAGTTGTTTTTAACTTATGTACTATTTGTTAAATTTTTTAATGGTGCATTTGGTTAAAAAAAATTAAACCATTAAAATTTAGTTTTCATGCTCTATTTCAATATAGTATCTGAAAAAGTTTCAGGAGTTACTAACATTTACTTTGGTATAGTTTTCAATAAAGAAGAGAATATTGAAAATAAAAATTATTTTGTGTGTTCCTTTTTTTTATGATTCGGTACTTTTTTCCCCCCAGTCAGATAACATGACTCATCCTTTGGAAAGCATTGTAATAGAGTATACAGTTTTCGAAAAATGTTCCTATTATGTTTTATTTTTCTAATGTCTTAAACGTGGATAATATTTTGTTCAACAAATACTGTATTTTAAAAAAAAAAAAATTTATTTACTTTCTTAGAGTGATTTATTTCATTTAAACAGTAAAAAAAAAATTTGAATAAAATATATTTGTTTATTCCAAATGAAGAGAACTTTATGAGACATAATTTTTAAAGGATTACAAACACACACTTTTAAAACACATTTATTCTTTACAAAGCTTTTGTGGCAAATATCAGTAATAAGTCAGTATATCTATTAATGACTGTTATTCTTTATTAAAAAAAAAAGTCTAAATATTTAATTGAGTGGTAATCAGTAATGTAAAAATCTGCATAATATGGTGGCTGAAACTTCAACTTTTGTAATGATACTTTTAACAAATGAGGTTTTCTATTATTATAGATCGATGTTTTAATTAATTTGATAACAGTGTTGCACATTGGCTATGAGACCTCTTCCTAAGAAGATATAACAGATAGATATATTTAATAGTTTGTTTTATAAGAACAACCTAATAATCTACGTCTTACAAATAATAATGACAATAGCACATACATGTTTCGTAATTGACTAACTCCAAAAAATCTTTAATTTTTGGTGATTTAGGGGTCCTTAAATTCTAAATTCCAAAAGGTATCCTAACTTTGTTCAGTGACCTTTAAATTTCACTCTCTCTACAAATGTTACAGATAAAATAAGAATGAAAAATAAACATAGATTGCACCAGTTAAAATGGGGATAAAACCCTGAAAAATCCCTATTGTTAATAATTCATTTTTATCCAGTTGAAATTAAGTCTAACCAGTCCTTGTTGGTTAAAGCCTTAAGTTATGGTATATCTATATATATAATAAAATAAAAAGAATTTGTGTGTGTTTATGTCTGCATACCGAATTGTGAGTATACCGTCGGCACTAAAAAATGCCACATTCAACATGAAGCTAAAGGACTACATTTGTAAACTAATTACAAAGCCCGATTTTCGAATTTAGATTTTTAAATGTGAC